TCATGCACTCACCTACGGAGCTACACTGGCACGCTGTTAAACGGTTGCTTCGGTATTTGAAGGGCACAGTCTGTCATGGCTTGTTTCTCCGGGCTGGGCAACCACTTTCGCTGACTGTATATACGGATGCAGATTGGGGAGGTTGCACTACTGATGGCCGCTCCACCACCACATACTTAGTGTATCTCGGTTCCAATCTCATATCTTGGAAGTCCGCTCGCCAAAAGTCCGTGTCACGCTCGTCCACGGAGTCTGAGTACCAAGCCTTGGCTAATGCTGCTGCAGAAGTCTTATGGGTAAGGAATTTGCTCTGTGAGCTTCGATTACAGCTGGTGAGGCCTCCTCTTTTGTTTTGCGATAATCTTAGCGCAACCTATGTGTGCAAAAACCCGGTGTTCCATTAGCGTATGAAGCATCTGGCCCTTGATTACTTCTTCGTTCGTGACTTGGTTGCTAATGGTTCACTAGTTGTTCGGCACATCCCTTCCAAAGATCAGCTAGCTGACTTCCTTACCAAACCCTTGGGCCGGTCCTTGTTTCTTCAGTTTCAATTCGTTCCAAGATTGGAGTCTCCGACGGATCCTCAATCTTGCGGGGGTGTGTTAAAGATATGTGTGGCTGATATCTTATGTTATTATATTTAGTCCTAGTCTAGCTCCTGTATAATAGTTATTAGGCTAGCTGTTGTAACTAATAGTTATCTTTTCTCATTTGTAAGCTATTTATAGCTGCCTGTGGTTTTATTAATAAATCACTTGTTCATAATCTTTACATGGATAAAAATAGTGTAAATGTAGTATTTTTTTCATTAACAATTGAGTAAATACTTTCATAGATGTTGAGAAAATTATTTTATGATTAAAAATCCTTCTTCATAACCACTATATCAAAATAAAATTTTAAAAAAAATCTGCACAAATTCTATTTGCTAGTATATATATTTGGTTGTCGTTTCGGTCCACTTTGTTATTCTTGTGGGTGCCATTAATTCTATGTCCGAAATTCAGTTGGAGGTGTGACTCGTTACTGTCATATTGGTACACTTTGGCATGTAAGTTTTGTACATGGCAATAATTGTATGTCTTAGACAGGGCTTCATAATTAGACAGAGATTTTTTTGTACACCAAATATGGTGTAACACTATTCATTTACACAATTTTAATGTATGTTGAATTCTTTAATTTTTTATTTTTTTTGTTAATTGTTTCCTTTTAATTTGGATATGAATGTATAAGTAAAAGAGTCCAAAATCATGCATTAAAACTGGATTGACCATATAAGTGTTTAAATAACGCACAACATGATATAATAATAAAATATCCTCACACATCCTTAAGGTTGAGGTTCAACCTTTTGAAAAGAATATTCCCACACAACCCCAATGACCCCTTGAAGTCAAATGACTTTTAGGACAGATCTTATTAGGTCAAACCTATGTGATCTTATTGAGAAATGCATGTATTGTCTACATTGACAAATCAGTAATTAGTTTTACTAACAAATTTATTTTCAGTTTTCAAAAAATAAATAAATATACAAATTTGTTTTCTTGTTATTAACTCCCATTTTACACTCCCTATGACATGGCATACCTTAATTGCTTAATTTAGTAGAGGGTCATAATGTTTATTCATTCTTTTTCTTTCTTTCTCCAATCAAATTTGAACACAAACGGAGTTCAAATTGAGAGTATGATTTCGAGAGTACATTTAGTATTTTTGTTTCCTCAACTATTGATAATGAGTTGTACTACATGTACTCCCAAATTCTACTCCCTCACTTTTAATCAATGATATGACAAACAATGATAGAATATTTTTATCATGTGTGTCACTAAAAAAGTGTCTACATCAAAGATGTGTGAGAGTGAGTAAGAAGTGAGAGCACATGTTGTATTTTGATTATTTTCCATTGATAATATATATTTAGCTGTCTCCTACCAATATATATATATATAGCTGTCATTTTGGTCCACTTTGGTACTATTGCATGTGCCTGCCATTTATTGCATGTCAGACATTTTGGTACACATTTGTGTGTAATAATTTTTATGCATGCCAGTAATTATACGTCTCAGATAGAGCTCACAACCACAGATGTAGATTTTTTTAAAAGTCATTTAATTTAATGATTAATGTGTGAGTACACTCATGGTTGTTGAACAAATTATCTTAGTTGTTATTATATATATATATATATATATATATATATATATTAACTCAAAATATAGTAAAATTTGAAATCAAACATTCATCATCTTAATCTAAAATTAAAGACGTACTGATATCTCTGACCACAAAATATTAAACAAGTTTATAGGCTCTCCGATGAGTGTTCAAGGAATTGAGTTTATTAGTCTTCCGCCGATATATTTGATAGATGCTTGCATTTTCTTACATGTATGGAAATATGAATATTAGAAGAAACTTGTAAAGATAACAATCCAAGCTACATGTACAACAATAGAATCTAAGTACATTGAAAGAGTATTTATACAAAATAATAGAATCAAACAAGTATAACTAAATTTTGCTCTTATAAGCTATCACACAACTTAAAAAAAAAAAGCTATCACACAAAAATCAGCTGAGTTGTTTGTGTGGATAAATACAACTAAACTTTTCCCTTACCTATAATTGAACTTGATTCACCCTATGAGAGTCTAAATGACACCTAGCCTAAAAGTAACCAATTCAAATGACGAATTCGAAGGACTTCCTAAATTCAATTTTATTGGGTCAAACTTGATAAGACTTGGAAAACAATCCAACAACGTAACTATAATACTAAAAAAACCAAAATAGATGTTATTTGATTAATCACTCATTTATCTACCAGAAAAAGGTATTAAATATTGGAGCAAGTTATTGCATAAACATATAGAACACTTGATTTGGTTATCATATATTCACATGATTCAAAATGTATCATATTAAAGGAAAATGAGTAATAATCGGGTAAAACATCTTACCAAGTAGCGTTGGTCTGGTTATTGACTTGGCAATAATATGGTTTCAAATTTAATTCTGAGTAAGAGCAACCTATTACTTGTTTACTCATTGCTCCCCATTGTTGTATACATTCGCTACTAACTATAGTTTTGAGCATAGTAGTAAATGTTTATCATGTGAAATATGAGGATTTGAAAGTGGACATCACATATATTTGTACCACAAAATAGCCACTTACAATGTCATTGTTGTTATTTTTTTCAATAGAAAATATAGAAGATAATGATAAATAAAAGAATATGATAATGAATATAATCATAGTAATGAATAAATATGTACGTATATAATGGTGAGAATGTGGTTAAAAGTGATATATAACCAAATATATGATAGATGATTCTGTTTTCCAATTAGAAAACATTTTTCAAAAGTTCTTCAATTTTCTAAAAAATTGGAAAATGTTTAAAGTTTTCAGAATGAAAAATTGTGCTAGTAAACATGTTTTTTATTTTCTATTATCTAATTCTTCAGTTCTTTAGAAAACTGGATAAATTCCCCAATTAGTAAATGTACCCTTAAACACATATACAACGACATCTCGTTAATCATGAAAGTTGAAACGTTGTCGTTTTGGGACTCTAATCTACACTCTACAGTATAACTATTGGATACATATAACGGAAAATGTATTTTTAGTCTCTCAATTGTTCCTTACTAGCCATTTTAGTCCCTAATTAAGTTTTTACCATTGCAATATACACCTCTTACTTTAAAAAAAAAAGTTATAATTTTAATCCATTGAGCAACAAAACTATAAAACTCTATTAAAATTTACTTCTTTTTTTTGAATGCTATTAAAATTTACTTAGTACATGTGTATTTAAAATTTTATTATTATTATTCTTTATAACTTTTTCAAATTTGGTATTTGATATGCAAAATAGAGAACTAACAACCTTCTTCTATAAAAATTTCCTCTTTAACTATGGTACATCGTCCTTATTTTCCTTACTTGAACTTGTTAAAATCAAAATTTTTATTTTACAAAAAAATTATTGAGACTAAAGAAAGATTATAATTAATGAAGAAACATTAAAAAGTATTAAAATACACATGTACTAAGTAAAATTTAATAGAGTTTTAATAGTTTTGTTGCTCCAAGATAGGACTATAAACGAATCGAACACGAAAGAACAGAGTATGTTCATATTTGTGTTTGTTAAGATTTGTAGAGCAATCGTGTTCGTGTTCATTTGTTAAGATTTTGAAAATCATGTTTGATATTGTTCACGCGCTCATATTGTTCATATTGTTCGTGTTCGTTTGTTAGTGTTTATTAATGTTCGCGAACATGTTTATTTGTTTGGTCAATTAAATGTGTTTCTGAACAACCAAACAACTTTGTTCACCAATGCTAAACAAACAAACACGTGTACATGTTCATGATCATAAATTGTTCGTGAATAAGAAATAGTCTTTGTTCATGAACAAAAAATAAACAAACAACATAACAACTATAATAATAATACAAATAACTCCAAAAGTAACATTTAATATCAAAGTAAAACAGCAAGTTTGTTCATGAATATTATTAAATGAACAATAAACGATATGATATTGTTCACGCGCTCTTAGCAAACGAGCGTACAAATGTTCAAACTCTATTCATTTATTGAACAAATATTATATTTTTCCATTTATGGTCGTTTACCTTCATAAGCGAATATAAACAAATGTTTACTGAACACGAATGCATGTAGTTTACTGAAAGCTCTGTTGCTTACACTACCGGCCTACTCTAGAGGTTAAAATTAAGGTGTAATTTTTTTGAAGAGTTAAGTGTTTATATTATAATAACTACAAAAAGTTAGACACTAGACTAATTAAACAACTAGTAAAGAATAATTGATGGACTAAAAATAATTTTTTTCTACCTAGAATTTTCTTGTGTTACATAGCATTTGAGTTGACTCGTGGAGTCATGGCTGTTGTTGGTCCACTTTGGCCTTCAATTATTGAGAATGAGTAGTTCTACGTCTTGGTCACGGCTTAACTACCGCCCATACAAAATAAGAGATAAAGAAAAACATTTCATTTTGCGCTCTAAAATCATATCCTGTTTGAGCACTCCAATTCTTCGCCGGTGAAGTTAACAAGCCATCGAAGTTTCGATCTGTACCAATGGCGGAGGCTGCTGTAACGTTTGTATTGGGCCAACTCTCAGTGCTGATCCGTGAAGAGTACTCGTTCTTGGGAGGGATTAGAGATGATGCGCAAGATGTGGAGAATGCTTTCCATCGTTTGACGGCGGTTTTGAGAGTTGCGGACGAGAGGGAAGAAATTGATCCTCAAGTTCAAGCATGGGTGAAGATAATCCGGGAGCTGGTTTATGACACTGAAGATGTTCTTGACGAATTCCAGTTCCGCTTTGGAGGTAGCCAGACCAATGGAGGGTTGCACAATAGGATCAAGAACAAATACACTTCCGTCAAGAACTTGAGAGCTCGGCGAAGGCTTGCTCGTGAACTGCGAAGGATCAAGGCCAGAGTCAACAACATCTCTCAGGAACAGCCAAGGTTGTTGTTAACAACCTCTGATCACACTATCCACAACAGCAACAAAAGGGTGTATGATGGCCGAAGGGATGCCCTTTTGCTAAAAGACTCGGATCTGGTAGGTATTGACAATCCAAAGTTGTCTCTTGTTAATTGCCTACTTGCTGTAGATAAAGATTTGAGAGTCCATTCGGTAGTGGGTATGGGGGGATTGGGGAAAACTACCTTGGTTAAAAAGGTTTTTGATGATGCACGAGTTGCAAATCACTTTCAGCGTCGTGTGTGGCTTACAATTTCTGAAACTTTTAACGTTGATGAGTTGTTAAAAGATGCAATTCGGCAGATAATAAAGCAAACCAATGAACAGCCTCCTCAAGATTTTGAAGCCCTGGACACTGATAAATTGAAAGAATTCATCAATAACATTCTTTCAGGCCAAAGATATATCATCGTTTTAGATGACATATGGGACGTTGATGCTTGGATGGCATTCAAACCCGTTTTCCCCGGTCACAGTTTTGGTAGCTGTATAGTTATCACAACGCGGAATAACGAAATAGGTGTCTTTGCAAGCCATGACAAAGTCTACTCTTTAGAGCCTTTGTCAGATAAAGATTCATGGGCTTTGTTTTGCAGAAAGACATTCTTAGGTGATTCGTGCCCTCAACACTTGGTGAACATTTCTAAAACTATCTTAAAGAGATGTGGTGGTCTACCACTAGCAATTGTGGTGATAGCTGGGGTTTTGGCTACAAAGAGTGAGAGCATTGAAGAATGGGAAAGATTCCAGCGCAACCTCAATAACCAATTAGAGAGCAATGATGGTGGGATGAAGAACATGAAGAATCTACTTTCCCTCAGTTACTATGATCTACCATATTATCTCAAGTATTGTTTCTTGTACTTGAGCATCTTTCCTGAGGATGTCATCATTGAGAAAATGAGAGTGATTCGACTATGGATTGCAGAAGGATTTGTTAGGGAGAACAACCATCAAGAAAAAGAAGAAGTTGGTGAAGTCTATCTCAATGGATTACTTCATCGAAACTTAATTCAAATTGTAGAGAAGACTCGAAATGGAAAGATGAAGGCATTTCGAGTGCACGACATTTTACGAGAATTTATTCTTTCCAAGTCAAAAGAGCAAAACTTTACAATCATAATTGCAACTGGGCAAAACACAGAACCTTCCGCCAAGTTCCGACGCCTAGCAGTCCATAGGTTATTAGATCACAACATTCTGAAGTGCGCTTCATCAAAAATGCATCTTCGGTCTTTACAATTCTTTGAACCACTTTCAAGCTCTACAATGTCATCTTCGTTACCAAAGATGTTTACTGCCAAATATATTCCTTTAAAGGTATTGGATTTAAGGGGTGCTGAACTAGAGGAAATACCAACAGAGGTTTTTAATTTGTTTCAATTGAAGTACTTGAGTTTGAGAAGAACAAAGTTGAAAAGCGTTTCTAAGGCTATAGGACGTCTTCAAAACTTAGAAACACTTGATTTGAAGCACACTGATGTTATTGAGTTGCCAGCTGAGCTCTTAAAACTTTGTAAACTTCGGCATCTCCTTGTATACCATTACCAAGATAGGTGGATTAATCCTTGGATTAGTACACAAAGCTTTAATGCTCCATTTGAGATTGGAGGATTAGTGTCTTTACAAAAGTTGTGTATTATACAAGCAAATGATACACTTGGCATCAAAACAGTGTCTGAGATAGGAAAGCTAACACAACTAAGAAGACTAGCGGTTTCAAAGATGAGACAAGAAGATGGCAAAGAATTTTGTTTGTCTTTGGGAAAGTTGACAAACCTTTGCTCTTTATCTCTTACATCAACTTCAGAAGATGAGGTCCTTGATATCCAACATCCTCTACATGTTCCTCTTGGTCTTCAAAGATTATATTTGAAAGGGCCTCTGGAGATGGTACCTCAATGGTTGTCCTTACTTGTAGGCTTAACCTGTTTAGAGTTTGGATGGTGTAGACTTCGTGAAGATTCACTATTGTTTATTGAAGATCTGCCCATGTTAGCACATCTAAAACTATTGGCAAAGTCTTATGAAGGGGAAGGGTTGTGCTTCAAGGCCAAAAAGTTCTCAAAGCTCAAGTCTTTGATTATCTATAAGTTGGAGGCATTGAAATGGATAAGAATGGAGGAAGGTACATTAGATCATCTGGAAGAGTTTGATTTGGGAGAATGCAGTTTGGTTGAGGAGATGCCGATGGGTATTGAACATTTGTCCGATCTTAAGGTAATTACTATCTATGACTTGGCTGACAAATTCAATGCAAATTTAGTCTCAAAATGCAAACGAAGTGAAGTATATGCAAAGATATCTCACATTCCAGAAATTAACATTTCCCATAAAATAGATGGCAAGCGGAAGTTTTTCTTTTAATTTAATGGCGGGTGGTCACGAGATTTAGTATGTGCGTGCTGTATATATCTGAATACTTTGTGATTTTAATTTAGTTGTTTTTCAGAGTATTAAATTAAAACTTTTGATTGTAATATATATTAATTGATGGTAGCTAGATTATCATATGATTGTATTGTATTGTCTAATATGGCACTTTGATGACCTCTAATACTCTATGAAAGTGTTCATCACCAAAGATTTATCCACAAATCGTTTAATTGCAGCGCAGGTTTTTATAATATATATAATGCCACCTTTTTGGGCACAATAATATTAGAGATTGCTATTGTGTAGAGATTTTTGAGACATGATTGGATCTGTTGAAATAATTTTAAATTACTTTTATATTTAATTTTTATTTAAATAAGTCTCTAAATATAAAATTCTGTTGCATATATTATGTATAACTAGTATTTTCACCCGTGCGATGCACGGAATGGAATTGTTGTAATATATTAAGAATATTTAAATCGATATATAATTATTTATGAGTTAATTTTACCAGAGAGGTCGCTTATCTTTCCTGACAATTCCAAATTTAATCATAGACTATAGTTATTAATTATTACGATTTATTCTATGTTATAATTCTTACGTTAATATTCTTACTATTATTATTAATAACACTTAATTACTTTTAGATATTATTATTACCACTTATATTATTATTATTATTATTATTATATTATTATTATTATTACTATTATTATTATTATTATTATTTATTTCTTTTCAAGTACTGTTAGTATATAATGGTCGTGATGCACAATAATAATATAACCATAATTAAATATTCTTGTATTGTATTCCGTGAGTCAAAATAATAATATAAAAATAATTAAATATTCTTCAATTATATATTCTTCTAGGATTTCTATTACCATCATTAATTATTCCCTAATTTACCATAATTAAATAATTTGACCAATTATAAAGAAAGATTATTAATTAATCCACGGAACAATTTTTTAATTAAAAATTTTAAAAATTCATTAATAAAATAAAAGGTTCTCATAATTTTTTTCTTAGAAACTATTTAATAATTTTTTTTTTTTTTTAGAAATTGGTGGGCCAAACCGCCTAAGGCAGTTTGGGGTGGATAGATCTCGAAAAAATACGCGATTTCAAAAAAACATTTGTCCAAAACCGATATTAGTATAGATATAGATTAGAATAGAAAATTGTATTACACAATTTTATAATATTAGAATATAATTTTAATCCAAAATTATTGTAGAAATCAATATATTTTAATAGTAAGAGAGATTTTTTTAGGAATTGGGCGGGAAGTTAAAATTTCAAAATTTTGTTTTTATATATAGTATAGATTACATGTGCAAAGAGAATTGTATTACACTATTTTATAATTTTAGAATAGAATTTTTACCCAGAATTATTGTACGAATGGGAAAGTAGAAATCAATATATTTTATTGGGAAGTGAGATTTTTTAGGAATTGGGCGGGGAGTTAAAATTTCAGGATTTTGTTTTTATATATAGTATAGATTAGATGTGCAAAGAGAATTGTATTACACTATTTTATAATTTTATAATAGAATTTTTACCCAGAATTATTGTACGAATGGGAAAGTAGAAATCAATATATTTTATTGGGAAGAGAGATTTTTAGGAATTGGGCGGGGAGTTAAAATTTCAGGATTTTGTTTTTATATATAGTATAGATAGATAGATTAGATGTGCAAAGAGAATTGTATTACACTATTTTATAATTTTAGAATAGAATTTTTACCCAGAATTATTGTACGAATGGAAAAGTAGAAATCAATATATTTTATTGGGAAGAGAGATTTTTTACGAATTGGACGGGTAGTTAAAATTTCAGCATTTTGTTTTTATATATAGTATAGACTAGATGTGCAAAGGGAATTGTATTACACTATTTTATAATTTTAGAATAGAATTTTTACCCATAATGTTGAGATTAACAAGAACAAGAAAATAATAATGACAAAAAAGGTAAAGAAGACAAGAATTACGTGGTTCGGCAATGTGCTTACATCCACGAGAGTGAAAGTATTCTCTTATTATTTGTGATGGTGATAGTGGTGACACAACCCCTTAGGGATACAACCAATATATTTATAGGCATCTAATCCCTATACAATGGGTCTACCTGTTTCACTCCTATACCTAGTATGAGACAAACTCATATTCCTAATCCATATATGAGACAAACTCAACAATCTCCACCTTGGCGAATATGCTCTTTAGGAGAAAAAGATAACTCAACAAATCTCCACCTTGACGAATATGCTCTTTAGGAGAAAAGACTTATCTCACCATATCCACCTTCACATATATGCCCTTTAGGAGAAAAGATTATCTCCACCTTTGCGAATATGTCCTTTAGGAGAAAAGATAACTCAACAAATCTCCACCTTAGTAAATATGTCCCTTAGGAGAAAAGATTTATCTCACCATCTCCACCTTTACAAATATGCCCTTTTCGAGAAAAAGATTTATCTCACATATACACATGGGTAGGAACAACCATGCTCATCCCAACTAGCCAACCACATGCATACGCAGCATCAAACGTTACCCAGTGAATGTACACGAACCGCTTCGTCCCAAGCGACTCATGCTAACTGCCCATTCAGCTGACCTCTTGCATCTAGCACATACCAGGTCCATGTCCCCTCCTGGTATCCACGCTGCCCGCAACACAACAGCGCCCCTGCAAAGTCACACTAAACCCGTGTGCCTTGCCCAATGCTCCACTAACCAGCAATTGCCACTAGCCAACAACACGCACCACGCAGCATCAAACGTTCCCAGTGCATGTTCACGAACTGTTTCATCCTGAAGCATTCGCCCATACCAGCCGTGACTCATGCCAAGCCCGGCCCATACTAGGTCCATGTCTCATGACAAGCCCAACCCGTACCAGCCGTGACTCATGCCAAGCTCGGCTCATACCAGGTCCATGTCTCATGACAAGCCCAACCCGTACCAGCCGTGACTCATGCCAAGCCCGGCCCATACCAGTACCATATTGGCCCATACCGATACCAGCAGAGACTAATGACAAGCCCAACCCATACCGAGCTAATATTGACCCATATTGATACCAGGTCCACGACCCCTCCTGGTATCCGCGCTGCCCAACACTACAGCGCCCCTCACCACCTTCTCATCTAGCATCTAGAAACGCCCAACAAGTCCAAACAATGTTCGAACTTGTTACTAGTTCCTGCTAGAACATCACCTTCACTATAATAAGAGTCATCAGCTCGAACCACGTTCATAGCTTCCTGCTTCTTCAACTCCTCCCAATCAGCCTCTTCCAGATTAGCTGGCTTTTCTGTCCTCAAGGTTTCCAAAAGGCCCTGATATGCCAACAAATCATTTACCCTAAATTGCCATAACCCAAAATTCCCTGTACCATCATTTTGATACCTCAAATTTTGTGCTTGAACTGGTCATCTCAACAGTGCTCTCATACCAATTTGTTGAGATTAACAAGAACAAGAAAATAATAATGACAAAAAAGGTAAAGAAGACAAGATTTACGTGGTTCGGCAATGTGCCTACATCCACGGGAGTGAAAGTATTCTCTTATTATTTGTGATGGTGATAGTGGTGACACAACCCCTTAGGGATACAACCAATATATTTATAGGCATCTAATCCCTATACAATGGGTCTACCTGTTTCACTCATATTCCTAGTATGAGACAAACTCATATTCCTAATCCATATATGAGACAAACTCAACACATAATTATTGTACGAATGGGAAAGTAGAAATCAATATATTTTATTGAGAAAAGAGATTTGTTAGGAATTGGACGGGAAGTTAAAATTTTAGGATTTTGTTTTTATATATAGTATATAGATTTTTCTATTGGTTCTTAAAAGGGATATATTATTGACGACTTCACAAATTATATTTAATTTTAATACATACCATGTGCAGGCCAGGAACGTTTTACATTTTTTTTTTTTTAATCAGATTCTGATTGCTCTTTTCCCTGCATCATATTCTAACTACCCTATGGTTGAGCTCCGTTCATACGTTCGTTTTGCTGCTAATGATTGCAGGAACGTTTTACATTCTTTTGTTTGATTATAGTGTTAGTTTGATTTCTAGAAGTATTAATTTATCTATAATTTTTTAACGGGGAGTAACACTTGTGTGAAACTGTCTCACGGGTCTCGATCCATGAGGCAGTTCGAATATTTGATTAATTGGTCAAATCTTTGATTAACGAGTTGGATCTTTGACCTCATTAATCAAAGATTCAACTCGTCTCACGATTTGAGACCCGTGAGACGGTCTCACACAAATTTTTACCCTTAACGGATATATTATTAACCACTTCACAAATCATATTTAATTTTAATAACATACCATATGCAGGAACTTTTACATTCTTTTTTTGATCATATTCTCTTCACCGCATCATATTCTAACTACCCCTATGGTTTGGTTTTGCTGCTAACGATTGCAAGAACGTTTTACATTCTTTTTTTTTTTTTAATTTATTTATTATGGTGTTAGTTTAGTTTCTAGTAGTGTTAATGTCTTAGCCCATACTTTAGCTTCAAAAGTCAACTCTCAGACGGGTAACTTGTATTGAAACTATGTCTCTCCTGACTTTGTTTCAAAGTTTTTACATTATTAACCTATTCCTTGATTTTACTTAAAAAAAAAAAAAAAATACCATATGCAGCAATACAAGTCAGTTTTAGTTGTAAGTGTTTATTTGTATGGGTAATTATTAACGTGCATGATGGAGAAAATAGAATTCTCTAAATAAAAAAAGTGGTAGAGGAAGAAAAAAAAATTAAAAAAACAAGGGTATTTAACGTAGAAATCAAAATGGTAAAAATTACGGACCTTTTTAGGCTAAGTCAAGCCGAAATGTACTATGTAATGTTGTAGGTGTAGTAGATAGGCAACCATGACCATAAAATAAAAGGGGAAAAAAGTACATAGAAGAGAGGTTATTTAGGACGGAATGCCTGAGATCCTTTGTCTTCCTGAGCTTTTATTTATGGCATGTTTGGTTGGTCGTAATTTGGCTGTAGTTGAATTGCAATTCAGTGGAAGCCACAATTACGCTGTTTGGTTGGAGGGAATTGCAATTTCACAGAATTGCGATTCCCTCATTTTGCTGAATTGCAATTCATGGGCACCCCCTATAAATTGCAATTCGGTGGTTGTGGGAAAAGGAA